TAAAACGTCGCAAAGGATATACGATAGCCCTTCTGTTGTATTCGCGCATTGGACGTCTGAGTACCGAGGTTTATTTGACACAATGGTTTACACACCTCGAAAAGACCACTTCTTTCGATTCTCAACGTCTTCAGCGTATCAACTGTACGTCTCCAAATCAAGGTGACCCCAATCTTCGAGGCCTGATGCAGTCGTCATCACTGTAAGTTAGACGTGATCATTGAACTACAAAAACAAGATACTTACTTCATGACCTAGCTCGTTTGATGAGCTGAGGCAACTCGTCGATAGTGCAGGTCCTTGAGCACATCTTTGATGGTGGTGGAAAGAAAACAAATGTTAGTCAACACGAATTTGATCGACGTCCATCCTCTCCGTCAACTACCACCGTTCGCCCGCCTGGAATCTACACTTGATGACATTTGGGACTCAGTCTGTCCAGCTCTACTGCTCGACAATCGCTCAAAAGGAAATCATCACCTTTGCGCAGATTGGAGCGCTCAGATGAGAGCCCAATCTGTCATTTGCAATTGCTCATTGACAGACCATGCTTCACGCACAAGCTTCAAAGCGGGTAAAGATTTTGGAAAGTCCACCGCACAAGGGATATACGATACGGGATGGGTCTCAGGCAGCAGTACGTACCTATCTCTACTCATCCGACTACTTTTTCGCTTATAACTCTCAGGCCGTGCCGGTTTCCTAGTGCCTCGCGAATGCTTCACCATCGTAATCTTGGTTCGCGGATGATTGGGGAAAGGCTATCGCTGCGTCAACCAACCCTCAAATGAAATGAGAGATCGACGACGGGTCGAGAGAGCAATTCGGTTGTAAATATCAATGCTACATATGCGACTGTCTTGTCGCTGAAGTTTACGGTACGTTCCCCCTTTCATGGACTTGCTGAAAAATGCCCATCACGGGTTCAGGACCACGAAGATTGAGCGTAGGACCTCGCCGCGCAGAGGAGAGGCCAGTCGCGCAACGCTGAACATGTTGCGGTGTCTACCATAGCTCGGGCCACGCTTCCCTTTGTAAAGCACCATCACTAGAGGGTGGTTCATCCATTCGTATCAACTCACCTCTGCTCAGTCTGCTACCCTGTGCACCGTGACCACACTGTTCTTGTGGTCCACTCACCTATATCTCACGACTTCACGGCTCCACCATCGGCTCACCCCAATGAAGACAATCCTGTGGTAATGCGATAATCCATGTGCTTTCAGGCTCATGTTGAGTGAATGTTGGATCAACCCAAAAGAGCACAACTTGAGCACAACGTACGATTAGCGGTGGAATGAGTAGGATCGGAGTTCTACTCTGGGTCGTGAATGTATCGAACGGTACCACGAGAATATTTCTTGTTCTTGGTACGACATAACCGCTTCCGCTTGACGACGAGCTAATGGAGTGGTCTTTTGTAGGATCCGTGACGTAGCAAGGCCTTTGCAGCGACAGCGAGGAACCAAGAGGGCTTTTCTTCCCTCATTCAGCTAA